ATCTATTAATATATATATATATATATATATGTTACTTTGATTGCTTAGGGATCAATTTTGCTTTTGAGATTCATGGCAGAATAGTCCCCAACATCCTTTTTCCCTTTCTAGGGATGTATTCGATGGTAAGGTGCTCCGGCTGTAACTCGTCATGAGGTGGTGATTATCCTCGACTTTCTCATTCGCCACAACCTTCTCTCCGCTGCTGTTGTTGTCGTAGCCACTACAACCGCCCTTGAGAACAACATTTGTGTTGTTCCTACTGCCTCAAACTTTCCTGCCACCCTTACTCCCCACCTAGCAGCCCCATGTCACCCAACTTATTGCCGCTAACTCCTTTCCTTTCCCGTACAACCCGACCACACCTCCCCTTACCTTGCAGTCCAGCTACACTCCCCCTTTCCCCTACCCACTGTAACCGAGCCAGCCCTTCCACCCTCCCAGCTGATACCCACTCCCAACCAGCAGTCGTCCACTATCCTGCTCCTTCCTTATGGTAACTGCTACCAACCCTTCCACCAATTTCGTCTATCTGACCTCTCAACTGCCTATCTACCACTAAACCCTCTGCTGTTGCGCTAACCACACCCATCCATTCCTTCCTGCTACCCAGACACCACCTTCACCCTAGTTTCGGTCTATGGTTGTCCCCTTTGTTTTTATTTCCTATTGTCGTATGTGTTGCTTGTCACCCTATTTAATTTCAACAATAAAAATTGTAATTTTATTGTTGTTTTAGTTAATTTTGGTATTATGTGGTATCGGAGCTAACTTAACCCCAGTCTTATCTTAGGGCTTTCTAACATCCGTCTTACCAAATCTCCCCACCAAAAAGTTTCCTTTATATCCTCAACCACCTCTTTCAATCCATAAACCCTAATCATGCTGCCAAGGAGATATATGTTAGAACCTACCCGGGTTGAGATACAATGAGAGATGTGGCGGCTTCAACAGAGGCTCGCAGAGATTGAGGATGGAACTCGAGGGAAAATTACCCTTGATTGTGATCAAGAAAGTCAAAGAGGAGAAAGCGACGAGGAACTAAATCCTTTCCTTTAGAATGACTTTAGTGATGAGGAAAACAAGCCCCGACGCTTTGGAATTCAGTATTAGAGAAGGCCGAGATAGGAGGCTACATATGCAGGACACATATTTTGACATCAAGTGGACTTACTGAAGTTTGACGAAGGTATGGATCTCGATGATCTCATCAAATGACTATAATTAATTAAGAGGATCTTCAAGTACAAAAAAGTGTCAACGAATAAAAGGGTGAAGCTTGCAACCATCAAATTGAGAAAAAGCACCTCCTTGTGATAGGAAAAGTTGCAGAGATAGAGAAAAAGAGAAGACAATGACAAGATTATCAAGTGAGAAAATATGAGAAAGAAGATGCAAATAAAATATCCATCTCCTCATTACTGTCAGGATATGTTTTTGAGACTCCACCGCTTACAAGAAAGA